TTTTCAATTGAACCAAGGCAGCTGTTGCCTGACAGATCTAGTTCTAGTTTGCAATACTTTTTGGGCATCCTTTGGTATTGGTAAACTATAGAATGGTTCTTTAAAACTTGGTCTGCAAGTTGACATGAGATATATCCCTGCACCAATTTGAGGAGGAGTGTTAACTATCATATTTTGGTAGTTAATTATTTTAATTTATTATTTAATTAGTTGATATTATATATTTATGATTTTATGTGAATAATAATCTCATATTATTAGAAATATAATAGAATAAGAATTTCTCTATATCAATTGAATAAAAATTTTATAAATACCTTAAGTGTAACAGATTAAAAGGTGAGAAATAAAATTATTATTTCTTTCTCTAAAATCAACAATAACACATTTCAAAGTTGTTCATGGGTCACCACCTTGTTATGGCTTTAGATTTTCTATAGGGACATAATCGGATGAGATTGCAAGCGAAATTGATTTTTTTTTTCATAAGCATAAAAAGCATAAGATTCTTTTTGTGAGTCCAAGAGTTAAGGGGAAGAATGAGGGAAGATAGTGACTTTTTTTAAAGAAGAAGACCTGTAAGTTATCTAGTAGCCATAATGCCCATGTCTCTAGTTGCACATCTAATAACGGGGGAGGACTATCTTGAAACTTTTGCTTCAATTGAAACATATATGATAGGGAGACTTCTGATATTCTAATCCTACTGACCATGCTTGAATTGATCCAACACTACATGGGACCCTAATAGTTGGTCTTGGATTTTCAAGCCTTCAGGGTTGTTTTCATATAAGTCCTTCTTAGCCACCTAATTGAAAACCCCACAACTACATAGTTCTACAATGACAAGGTATTTTGAAAAGCTAAAGTTCCTTCGAAAGTAGAGGTCTTTGTATGTGATGCTATCAATCAAAGGCTCAACACGAACGACTTGCTTCATATCCGGCGCATGGGTTGATCAGCTGCCCTCTCACAAACATGCTCAAGAATAATGGATTCAAGTGGATCAAAGAAGCCTTGAAAGCTTTTGAACTGTTGAAGGAAAAGATGCCCTCAGCTCCGATTTTGAGACTACCAGATTTCACTCAACCCTTTGTAGCGGATCCTGATGTTAGAAGAAGGGGAATTGGAGCTGTCCTAATACAAGAGGGTGTCCCGTTACATATATTAGCCAGACTTTGAGCCCTAAAAGAGTTACAAACCATCTTGTATGAGGTTTATAAGCGGAGACATTACTTGGAGGGAAACTCTTTCATCATCAAAACCGACAAAAAGAGCATCAAACACTTGTTTGAGCCTGAATTGCAAAATTCAGTATTAAAAAGAGGTAGAAATAAGGTGGTGGATATTCTCTAACAGAGGGATACAAAAGAGGAACAATTGGGTGAGAGGAGGACAGAAATAGAAGCGGACAGCGAGCTGAGTACACTGGTTATCATGGTTGCACCGGCATGGGTGCAGGAAATAGAAAACAATTATGGCAGAGATGCTAAGGTGTTGATTTAATTCAAGAACTTCGAGTGGCACCAGATACCAAGCCTCACTATAAAATTCTTGATAGAGTTGTGCATTACAAGGGAAGGTTTGTGGTTGGAGACAACAAAGAATTAAGGCAAGGACTCGTCCAAGAATGTCTTGGCTCCACTGTGGGAGCCCTTTTTGGTACAAGGGGGACTTATGCTAGACTCAAACAATATTTCTATTGGGAAGGGAAAGCAAGATGTAATGAGTTGAGTGCAAAAATGCAATATTTGCCAAATGTGTAAAATCGAAAGGGTGCCATTGCCAGACCTCTTGCAGCCCCTACCTGTCCATACAAGCTTGGTCTCACATCTCGATTGATTTTGTGGAAAGCTTACCCAAATCACAAGGCATGGACCCAATCTTGGTGGTGGTGGACATGTTCACTCAATATGGACATTTAAGCAGCCCTTTACAGCCTTCAAAGTTGCCCAGCTCTTTGTAGACAACATCCACCAACTACACGGTCCTCCTCACGTAATAGTCGTGGATCGTGACAAAGTTTTCACTAGCTTGTTTTGGCAAGAATTTATGAGCTAACTGGTAGCATCTTGCACCTTAGTTCCACCTATCTTCCACACACGGATGAACAAAAGAGAGGTTGAACCCAATTTTTGGAAAC